ACAGCTCCCTCACGTCTCTCCACTGTGAACATTGAAATAAAAGTCCTTTCCTCTGCTTCCCCACTCTCACTGCTCTCACATGTGATATGGCTCTCTTGCCGCTAGGGACACTGACCACATAAAGCCAACCCTAAACCTGCCCAGCTCTCTCATGATTCATGAACCATTTTATCAATTTTACTTTATTTTTTGAATTAAAGAAAAATAAAGGGATGTCTGCATTATACACGACGTGATATGAACATATGATATTGATATCCCCATATATGACGCCTTTTCCATCCCATTTCGTTATTCTCACTGTTCCTTTCACTCCTTTCCTCCTCAGTTTTTTCTTCTCAATTTTTAAATTTTTGAATTACTATTTTTTATCTTTAATATAAAACTTGGTTGGCTAATTTAAAAATATTAAAAATTTAATAAATTAATTTTAAGTATTTATATTTATTAATTTTTTTTAAACCAATTTGTTTCATTTATAATTGATATATAATCTAATAATATGTATAAATATTTTAGAGAGATCATGTTATTTATGTTATAATTAAGAAATTTACTAATTTTTTAATTTCTCAAAATTAATTTCTCCAAATTATAATGGATAAGATTATCATATCACAGGCTTGTAACTTAGTGTGATCGCATGAGCAGTCTTGTTTGTTTTGATCATCGTCAAATTTATTTCTGTAATTGTTTTCGTCTCTTTAGAAAATTATTTTCTCATTCAATTTTTAATTTAATATTTAATGTTTTTCTCTCTTAATTAAATATTTAATTTTTTGGTTAGCATTTTTAATAGTAGCTGACAGCGCAAATGGAGCAAATTTCAGGAGTTGATAATTCTAATATAATAAAATTAAATGATTTAATTGAAAAAAATACATAGATACTAAATTAAAAATTTAAGAAAAATAAAACTATTTGTAAAAGGGTTTTTCCATTGTTTTTTGAAGTCAAAAACATCACAAATGCTTCTTAAAATTCTAATGGAAAGTTGAAAATATCACAACTTATTTTTCTTGTAATTACCCAGCTCTTCCGCCATAAAGAATCCCCGAGGTGAAACCCACTTGATCGCGTCCGATTCCGCCGGTGCCCCTTTGCTATTTAAATAACTCCATCCTTAACATAACGCTCAATTACTTAATTTAGAGCGATTAAAAAAAATAAAAATTAATTTAAAAATTATTTTGTTATTTTTAAAATTTATCTAATTTATAGACTGATATATAATCTAATAATAGACATAAATATTTTAAAAAGACAATGTAATATATGTCACGGTTAAATAATTTTGTTTTTTAAATTTCTTTATTTTTTTAAAATTAGTTAATTAAGTTGAAAAGGGAGTATCAACACTCTTTAGAAGAAAAGACATGCAAATAATTCTCCTAAATCGTACAATGTGTTTTTCCCCCCTAATAATAATAATAATAATATGAACCGCAGTGTCCGAGCCATTCTACATTGATTTGACTCCATTTTGGAGCAGCTCCTCCCAACTAAAGCTTCAAATCTGCTTCTTCTTCTTCTCCTTCATAGTTTCACAAATTTCTTAATTTCTGCCTTCTGCTAATTTCTACTGCTTTCTCAACTTCTCGTTTTACTCCACCATCTCTGCAGTTCCCTTTGTGTTATATGTTTCTCGACCAAAAACATGAAAAAGAAAACAGAAAATAAAAAATCTCAACCCGAAACTTTGTAGCCATTCTTCTAACTATTCCTTCTAACTAAAGCTTCAGATCTTTTTCTTCTTCTTCTTCTTCTGCTCCTCCATTCACAAGTCTCCTACTACTTTCTCCCTTCTGCTAATTTCTACTGCTTCCTCAGCTTCTTCTTTTTATTTCATCATCTCTGTAGTTTCCACTTTCTGTTTTCCTTGTTCCTTACTTTCTGAATTTACTGCTTTTGCAACCTTTGTTGGCTCTTAAATCTTCTTTCATGGTTTCACTGTTCGCATCGCTCGTTGATAATTCTTTCTTTGCTTAACATCTTTTGGTCACTCTGGGTTTTGCTTGTATTTCCTGATTTCTGTTTTCTCTCTGTCTCACCCATATTAAAAGAAAAGTTCTTAAGGAAATCCTGACTTTGCTCCTTTTGCATTTTTTTTTCTGGCTCTTCTCTGTTGTTATCATTTTCAACTATATTTTTCTGGTTTTGTTATATTTCCTCAAGAAAAAAAATCGTAAAAATAATTTTGTTTTAAAAAAAATGTGTTTTCATCATATTTGTGATATTTTGTTGTTTAGTTGATGTTGTTTTTCCTGTTTAATTTCACAAGTTCATCGTCTTTTTTCGTAAACTTTCACATTTTATAGTTGTCTTCTATTGTTGTGAAGCGTTTGTTTCTCAAAGTTGTTCAAAACACCATAAAAAAAGAGGTCTCTCATGCTTGATCTGTGTTGGAACGCTGAGGAAAGCTGATTACTATGGGGAGATTGAGGTTTCCATACGCCTCGAAATTGCAAAGTTTGACATTCGCCACTACTGTAAGTTTGAAAATATAGATTTATGCCAAAGTCAGTCGGTGTTTAATTGATCTGTATTTACAAGGTTCAATTTGTTTTTCAACTTTTGCAGCATATTCTTGTGTTTCTGAATATAGGCAGCGACCAACCAAAAGAAGAAGAAACCTGTTCCAACTTCCAACCATATATTGAAGGCAAGTTACTTATTAAGGTGTGGCTTCGCTAGTTTTACATGATGTCTAAACATACCCTCTGGTGTTTTTTTTTTTTTTTTGGGGGGGCGGTTAAAATGGATGGGTTTCCTTCCAATTTTCCCAAAATCATAGCTTTTTTAAAAGAAAAAATTAATCATTTTGGTCTCATAATTTTAACTTGATTATTGACTAAACTTTAACTCTGTAAAACTCAATCCGTTAAGCATTAATTTTGTTGAAATTTTCACTAATTGTAACTTGGTTCTTGCAGCGTTTGCTATTCGAATCATTAATTAATGAGAATAAAATGATAATCAAGAAATTATCTTTATTTTAAATTTCATCTATATTAAAATAATTATTTTAAATAAATTAAAAAAAATCAAATCCTTACTATCCAAAATGAGATATATATTGTCGAATCTGGTGAGTTCAAAACATTTTAAGCAAAACCGGCCCATATCTCTTTGTACAGAAGGAACTGATCTATTTTTATTTATATATTTAAAGCAACAATATGTGCATGGATTTCCAAGTTGGGGGGCCCACACGCCGCTTTATTCCCCTTCACCTGACAATGTGCCTGTTTGGAAACACTTTTTTAGAGCTTATAAGTAGCTTATAAGCTCTATAAGCTCTATAAGCTCAATTGAAAAAAGTAGGGTCTGTTTGGCAACACTTATTTACAATCGGGCTTATGTCTGAAAAGCTACAATAAGCCATAAGCTAAAATTAACAGCTTATGGCTTATAGCTTATGGCTTATGGCTTTTGAAATATGAAGAGAGAAAAAATTAAGAAATTTATTACTTCTTTTGATTCTTATTATAAGCCTCAAATAACTAATTTGTAAATAATAAAAAATCAATTAAAATTAATTGAAAGTAATGAATAAGTTAGAAATATATTTTTATTTTTAAATATGCTCCTAAAAATATACTTTTATTTTTTTATGTTTCACTTTATATTTAAAATATTTTTTATGACTTCTTCATATTAAATTATTTTAATTTCATTGTATTATGTGAAATTATTTTTTTAATCATGTTTTATTATTTATTAAAACTCATACCCATTTTGGCAATTTTTCAGCCAAAATTACTTTTACTCAACTATAATCCAAACAAGCTTTTTCCAATCTCATTTTTGTAAACTAGCTTGTCTGAACTCCAATCCAAACACAATTCAGCTTATCCAATTTAACTTTTACCAACTTCACTTTTCCATAAGCTACTTTTTCTATAAGCTGCTTTTCCAATCGCTGATCCAAACGGACCCAATGTCATGTGCTTCAAATCAACTTTAAAAGGGTGTCTTCACTTTAATTGCCGAGGGTCTCCCTCATTGACTCCTCCATGCACAAGAGACTTTGCGTTTTGCCCCTCCTAAAGCCTCATGTCTGCTTTTTCTTCAGCATTTTTTCAGAAAATTTTTTTTTCTGGATTTTTTTTCCTTTTCTGGGCACTTTTCACTGATTTCTGCTCTATTTTTGTTCGTTCTCGTCTGTCTTCTTTCATAACAACACAGCATTCCTTCTCCTTGTTTATTGATTTCTCAACTTGTTCTTAAACATTTCTCCCGCAATTTTTGTTTTCTGATTTTTATTTTTCTTTCTGTCTTTCATATTTAAAAATAAAAAAAATCCTGAGTTTGCTCCTCTTGCATTTTTTGCTGGCACTTTTCCTTTATTGTGATCCTTCTTCTGATTTTTATTTTTCTTTCTCTTTTTCACATTTTCTACTGCTTTTTCAGCTTCTTCTTTCACTTCATTATCTCTGCAGTTTCCTTTGTGTTTTCCCTTTTCTTTTGTCTTTTCTGCACAAAGAAAAAAAAGAAAAATCCTGAATTTACAGCTTTTTGCATGTTTTTGGCTGGCCCTTGCAATTCTCTGTTGTTAATGCTATCAACACTATTAATGGCAATAACAATACTTTTACCGATTTTGTTAATACTTAAACGCAAGGACAGCTGTGATAAATCTGTTCCTTACTTCATTCAATATTCCTTATGTACAATGCCCCACAACGTCAACAACACCAGCTCCCTCACATCTCTCCACTGTAAACGTTGAAACAAAATCCACTTCCTCTGCTTCCCCACTCTGATTGCTCTCACATGGGACATGTCTCTCCTGTCGCTAAGGACACTGACCAAATAAAGCCAACCCTAAACCTGTCCCGCTCTCTCATGATTCATGAACCACTTTATCATTTTTACTTTATTTTTTGAATTAAACAGGTATAAAATATTTCTAAATTTAATCCTATCTATAACTATATCTAATTATACAATGTGCACTGATTATTTTTGCTATTTCTTTTCAACAGAGCACAAACTAAATGGATACTATTACTTGCGGTTTGGTTGAGAAGTTCCGAGACGTAGTGCTCGACCTAACTTGGGAGCAGCTTCTTTATCTCATTCACTATCGCAGAAACATTGAGCACTTCAATGAACAACTTGAGAACCTCACCCTTAGAAGATGCTCCATACAACATGAAATAGATGAGGCTATAAACAATGGAGAACAAATTAAAGAGGAAGTTAGTCATTGGTTGGTCAAAGTAGATAAGATATCAGAGAAAGTACGAAAGCTCCAAGAAAAGAATCAGGCAAAAACAGAGCGTAGCATAACTTCATGTCCCAATCCTTGGCTACGCTATAAACTAAGCAAAAAAGCAGAGGTGACTCGGCAAGAAGTTGTTAACATTTATGGGGAGGGAAATTTTGGTAGAGTTTCATATCGTGTTCCTCCCAAGTCAATGCCAGAATTACCCAACACAGGCAGCAATGAAGGGATTGATTCAAGAGTACCGATTATGAATCAAATTATGGAGGCATTACGGAGTCCAAGTGTTAATACGATCGGATTGTGTGGGCTTCCTGGTGTTGGCAAGACCACCATAGCTAGAGAGGTTGAAAAGAAGGTGAAGAATCAAAAGATGTTTGAAAATGTGATCATGGCAATTGTTTCCAAAGAATTGAACGTTGAGAAGATTCAAGGCCAGATTGCTGATAAGCTGGGTATGCAACTCAGTGAAAGAGCTGAAGATGTCAGAGCTTCTCGTTTGTGGAAGAGGTTGGCGAAAGAGAAGAATATGCTCCTAATATTGGATGACCTTTGGGAGGAACTTGATTTGCGCAAAGTTGGAATTCCCTTAGTTGATGTTGAAAATTATAGCAGAGAGAATGAAGGTTGCAAAATTTTACTAACTTCAAGGAATAAAAGGCTGCTGTCAGATGTCATGAAATGTCAAGAAATTATCGAAGTGGGTGTTTTGTCAGAGGATGAAGCAATGGAGTTGTTCAAGAGGATTGCTCCACATCCTACTGACTTGAGCAATCCTGACTCGATATCTATAACCTCTCAAATAGTTCAAAAGTGCGGTGGCTTGCCACTAGCGCTTGCTACAGCTGCCAAGGCATTGAGCAATAAAGAGCTAAATGTGTGGAAGGATTACCTTGCACGATGGACAAATCACTTAAGAAGAAACATCTCAGGAATTGAAAAGGTGGATGGCTCCTTGAAATTGAACTATGATCTTCTAAGCCAAGAGAACAAAACTATTTTCTTGCTTGCTGCCATGTTAACCCATGATTCCTCAATTGAAGACCTGCTCATGTGCTCTGTGGGGTTAGATATTTTGAAAGGCGTAGAGAACATGGAAGAAGCCTATGTAGGAATCTCTAATAATGTTAGAAAGCTAAAATCATTAAACTTATTTCTGGATAGCATTTCTAGTCATCATGTTACAATCCATGACGTCTTTCGAGATATTGCATTATCGATTGCAGACGGTGAATTACATGCATTCATTTTGAGGCATAAAAGCTTGACAAAATGGCCAGATGAAGATAAGCTAGAAGACCGCAAGGGAATTTGCTTGCAAGAAATTGACATCAGTGTTAACCTTCCAGAAGAGTTGCATGCTCCAACATTAGAATTCTTTCTACTGCACAGCACAAAACAACATGACTTGATTATACCCAGCATGTTTTTCAAATCTTCAAAGAAGCTAAAACTGTTGGCATTTACTGATGTGCGTTTTGAATCACTACCATCACTCAGTTTCCTACTAAAACTAAAAACATTGTGTCTGCACTCTTGTTGGCTACGAGATATAACTGAAGTCACAACGTTGAAGAATTTAGAAGTGTTAAGTCTTGCTTACTCTGAAATTCAACAGTTGCCAATTCAATTAAAAGAGTTGACTTCTTTACAAATGTTGAATTTGTCCCACTGCTTTGAACTCAAAGTGATTCCACCAAATGTCCTATCTAGCTTGACAAAATTGGAGGTTTTGTTAATGGAAAGCAGCTTTGACAAGTGGAAAGTTGAAGGATCTAGTGAAGCTGATGAAAATGCAAGTCTTGACGAATTGAAGGACTTGCCAATCTCTTCTCTTGATATTCGTATTCCTAATGTCTCTATGTGTCCGGAGAACTTGTTCTTAGCTATGAATATGCAGAGATACAGAATACTTATTGGAAACAAATGGAACTGGTGGGAATGCAATCATAACAGTTCAAAGATATTGAAACTTGAGCTTGAGAGTAATATCCCTTTGAAGCCTGGGGTTCGAAAGTTGATGGAAGGAGTTGAAGATTTGTATTTATGTGGATCTAATGGGCTTGAAGATGTTCTTCAGGGTTATGATGGAGGAGGATTTACGCACTTAAGGCATCTTCAGATTGAAGGTAACGATACTATTAAACCGAACTCAGGACATCATGGAGCTGTAACAAATAATAGATCCAATAAAATGTCCGTGTCACTTTTGAACAAGGTATGTTCAGATTATTTTATTTACATTTTTCTTATTTTATCTTCTTAGAAAACTCTGCTTCAAACTTAAATGCAAAAATCATTTTCACTGGAATTGCTTTGCTATTAGGCCATTATGGAAGTTTGCCGCTTTCTATTTTCCAATTACTTAAAATTAGGTAGTAAAAGAGAAAAGCTAACTCCGAGTATTAAAATAAATAGTGAAGCCTCAAATTATTCGTCAACCTAAAAGCACGTTAATTTGATATTTTTAAGTATTTTAATATACGAATTGTTCCTGTCACTGAAATATCCATGACAATGTAGCTCATGGTTTTGATGATTAACCATTGTAATAACAAAACTTTGGAACCCCTTATTTCACCCAAAAAAAAAAATTGGAACCCCTTATTTCACCCAAAAAAAAAAACTTTGGAACCCCTTTTTAACGATGCGTTATTTTCATGTTGTTTTTCTTATACTTTCCGTCAAAACTTTGCTATCAGGCTATCATGGCATTTTTCAAGTTTGTTCTTCTTATTTTGTTCTTTTTTTTTTTCGGTAACGTATCTACAAAAATTATATTCACTAGAGTTACTTGCTTTGGTATTAGGCTTGCTACAATAGCATTTTACGTTTTTTTTTTTCATTTTTTTATTACTTTATTTGTTTTTTGAACTTAGAATTTCATATTGAACTTTCAGCAGTCTCTTGAAAAATATTGTGGTGGTTGAGAGTTTTATCTAGACTTTGAAACATTCTTTCATGAAAAGTAAGCCTACGAACTAAAAGTGATTTTTATTTAATTATATTTTCTGTGAACTGCAGGTATTGCTTCCATCGATAGGGGATGACCAACTTTCCGGCAACTCGTTTAGGAACTTGAAAACATTGTCTGTGAACAGTTGTGGCTTTGGAAAATTGGTGCCCCGTCGTGTGCTGAAATCTTTAAACAACTTGGAAGAACTGGAAGTCAAGTACTGTTCCATGTTGGAGATAGTGTTTGATTTTGAAGATTTGAATGATCATAAAGAGATGAAGTCATCATCAGTGATTGTACCGCTGAAAAAGTTAACTCTATATAGATTGCAAAAATTGAAGAATGTGTGGAGCAATCACTATGAAAAAGGAGGTGTCTCCTTCCCAAGTCTAAGGAGTGTGCATGTTTCCTATTGTGAAAGCCTTACAAGTCTGTTTCCTGCTTCTATAGCCAATGGCATGCTTTGTGATCTTGAAGAGCTTCAAATAGAACATTGTGGTATGGATGTAATTGTTGCGAAGGATCAAGTTTCAGAATCTGTTGGGTTTCCTAGGCTGACTTCCCTTGAGCTTTCTAGGCTTCAAAATTTGAAGAGCTTCTATCCACAGAGACACAAATTAGAATGGCCGCACCTTCATCGATTATCTATTCAAAGTTGTGATGAATTAGAGATATTTGAAAAGAAAGTTTCAAGTTCATTAGAAATACATGAGGAAGAGAGCACATCAAACTCAAAATATCCTCTACTATCCCATGACAAGGTACGTATCTAAATCAGCTATTCATGTGTTATTTGTTTTAAAAATAAGCTAATAAAAGAACAAAAAATAACTTTATTAGAATATAATGTAGTTTAGGATTAGTTTGATGATTGACTTAAAAAGCTAAAAAGGAGTAATTCATAATCATTATTTTAATTAATTAATAGATATTAGAAATTAATTAATAATTCTCTATTTTTTAAAAAATTGGGACTCTGATCCTCAGCTTTTCATCTTCACCGAAAAGAGGTGTGTCATTGAATAGGGGTTTTTTTTTTTCCTTTTTCAAGTCATTATAAGCTTTTAATTTGATATTTTTTCTTAAAACAAAAGAAGGGAGGAATAACGATTGCGTCTCGTAATCAAAGATAGAACTCCAGCCTAGAAATTTATATTCATTTTAATGTATCGTAATTATTATTTGTAGTTACAAAATATACGTATGTCCAAGTTGTGGATGCATCAAATTTAAATTTGAAGATATCCTCCTAAAAAAATGCACACGGCTGGATTTTGGCGCATTGATTAGTTGTTACATTTAATTATGATTTATGTATTGTGCAGGTCACTCATAATTTGGAGGAGTTGACATTAGAGGGTAAAGGAGCTGAGATGATAGGGAGTGGCCAGCTTTCAACGTACTGCTTCCCCAAAGTAAAACTGCTTGATCTAGATGTTGGTTATGAAGCAACGACTATTTCATACAAATTGTTGAAGAGCTTTCCAAATTTAGAGGAGCTGACACTGGAGGGTGGCATTGAGGAGGCTTTTGGCGGAGGGGATGATGTTCATCTTCCAACAAAATTGACTCTTCACCGGATTTCCAATATCACAAGCTTGGTACCACTCTTAGTTTCTTCACAAAATCTCACACATCTGCGCGTGGCATCTTGTTATCAGTTGACCACTTTGATGACGTCATCAGTTGCTCGAAGCTTGGCCCATCTCACAAGTCTCTCAATTAGCGATTGCCGTGGAATAAAGGAAATTATATGGAAGCAGGAAGGAGAGGATGACGACGACGAGGAAGTCGTTTTCAGCAAGTTGCAGTATTTGGAACTTGAGAAACTGCCAAGATTGAGGGTGTTTTGCGCCTACAATTATACTTTCAGGTTTCCATTATTAGATCAGCTCATCATAACAGGATGTCGAGAATTCATGGCATTCTCTCCGGGGCTCATTTATACACCATCTCTTAAAAGCGTTCAAGTGTCACGTGATGGCATAGAAAAACATCATGAAATTTGGGACACCAATCTTGACAAAACATTATACCAACAGGTGCGTCTAGTAATGCCCTATTCTTGCTATTTCCTGGTTTTACAAAAATATGCATCTCTAGCTTTAATTACAAAAAAAAAAAAGTATGCATCTCTATATGTTCCATTGTTATGATATTTAATATAAATATACCTGTACGTGTTGCGGTTTTGAAGTTTGTACTAAAATTTTAGTTATCATTTTTTAATTACATAACTTTAATTACAAAACATCACAAACAATTACGTCATAATTAAGTAATTTATGGGATACACAGCGAAATGTTTCCGTATTACTGTTTTTTGTCGTCATTGATATAATTATTTCTTGTCCAAGGTTAATCATGAAAAATAAATGAAACCAAAATGTCTGACACTTCTTTGATGAGGAAGAAAATGGGCGATAAAATTATTCAATATTTTTTGTCCTCCAGTGACTGCGTTTGACCTTGGGACACAACAGAAAACAAAATAGTGTTACTGATTCGTTAAGAAGTTACGATGACATAATTAATAAATTAATATTACTGTGCTTCTGACTCAATATCTGTTTTACAGAGATGTGTGGCATCAAGAAAGATGGTGTTAGATGAGCATGATGTCAGCATGATAAGGAATGACCAATTCCCAGCGGACTGTTTTGCTCAAGTGGAAATTCTGGACATAGAAGGATTTAATGATGAAGGGGCAACATTTCCGTATACAGTGCTTGAAAGATTTCCGCAGCTGAATAAACTTCATGTCAACTGCAATTCCTTTGAGGAGATATTCCCATCACCCATTGTTCACCAAAATCAACTTCTTTATAATTTGACAGTGCTGAAAGTGTCCGGATGTCATCAGCTCATCTATTTAATGACAAATTCAGCTGCCAAAAGTTTGGTGAATCTCGAAGCACTGGACATATATAATTGCAAAAAGATGGAGAAAATTGTAAAAAATGAGAATAATGAAGATGTAGAAGGTGGAATCACCTTCAGTGTGTTGAGAATGTTAAGACTGAGGCTACTACCAAAATTGAAAGCAGAAGAGCATAAAACGGATTTCAACATTGAAGACCCGGCAACAAATAATCATAAGGTATGTTCAAATCAATTTACAGTAAAATATACTAACTAGCCCTATGTTTTACCTAAGTTATAGAAACCTTCCCGTTATTTTAAACAGGAAAAATTAATTTGACAATCCTTATACTTTTATCAAATTTGGAATCAGGTCCCTATAATTTTTTCTATTTTATTATATTTTTATTTTTTGCTCCCGATATGATTGCCATTACATTAAGATGACAACACTGACGTGGCACTGTTCGAGATTTATATATATAACTACCTTAAAATTAAAACACATGTTGTACAAACCTCTCTTGTATATTTGGTTTGAGATTCCATTTTCATCTATCCAACTGTAAGGTAACCGTTAAGTTTTACCTTTAAACTTTTATTTTGACTAAAATACGGCTCCTTCGTGTAAAAGTTATTTAAACATTCATTTTTTTAAAAAAATAATTTTTAATACCACAAAACATAATTTTTAAAATGTAATAAAATTTGTTAATTTTAATTCTATTATAAAATTTTATAATTTTAATTGTTTGTCACGCACATTGAAATTAATTTATTTAGGTTTCTTTAAATGGCTAAAAAATATGTTGAATACATATTCTTTTCCTCATATAATATAGATTATCTAAGTCTGATAGATTATAGAAATTATTTAAATTTAAATTTTAAAATTTTTAAGCAAATGAGAAATATTTATAACTTAATTTAGTCAATTATATATTTATTTAAGGAATTAACCAAATTTCCACTCACTAAATTACTTATTTTCAACACAAAGGAGGCCAGAATATTTTACTAATCAATTTATTATTGTTTTTTCCGGACAAAAATTAATTTTTTTTTTTCGTATCTTGCATATTTTTTCCTTACCAAGATTTTCTTAATTTCAAACTCACGTTGTGAAAATTAATTTCACTAGAATTATTTACTCCGTTCAGTAAAGATATGTTCTTATTTTTCCTGTCTCAATATATCTACAAAAATTGTTTCACTTAAATTACTTACTTTGGTATTAGGCTAGCTATTGTAGCATTTTATAGTTCTCTCGTTTTTAAGTTAGTTATTTCTGTTTGGTGAACTTGAAATTTGAAGTTGAACTTTTATCAATCTCTTGAAGAATACTATGGTACACGAGATTTTTTTTTTTTGAGCTGATTGGTACACGAGATCTATACTTACACATTTAAACAATCTTTCATGAAAACTAAGCCTCACAAATCAACAGTAACTTTGTTTTCGTTTTTTGTTGAAGGATATTCATTTAATTATATTTCTTTCAACAGGTGTCATTCCCCGGGTTAGAGATATTAAGATTAGACTATTTAAACAGTTTGATTCCACCGATATGGGATGACAAACTTTCACACAACTCATTTAGCAACTTGAAAACATTGACTGTGAGCCACTGTGGCTTTGTGAAATTGGTGCCCCTTCATGTGCTGAAATCTTTAAACAACTTAGAAGAACTGAAAGTCGAGCGTTCTGACATGGAGACAGTGTTTGATTTTGAAGATTTAAATGATCATAAAGAGATGGTGTCATCATCAGTGATTGTGCCGTTGAAAAAGTTAAGGCTTGAGCGTTTGCCAAAATTGAAGAATGTGTTAAGCAATAATGACCGCCAAGGAGAAATAAACTTGGTTTCTTCACTAGATGGTTCATGCCATCAAATAGAAGAACTTATGACGAAACAAAAAAAAGAGGACAATGAGGACACGGTGATCATTTTCAGCAGACTGGAGTTTTTGGAACTTGATGAATTACCAAGATTGAAGAGATTTTGCAGCCAAAATTATACTTTCAAGTTTCCATTATTACAATTTGTAACCATAACAGGGTGCCCTCAACTCACGACATTCTGTTCCGGAGCCATTCATACCCCGCAGCTTCAAAATGTTCGAATGACGAGAGCATATGGAGAATCTAAGAGAGATATTTGGATGACTGATCTTAATGCCACCATCCAACACCGGTTTACTATTCAAGAGGTTAGTCCAACATACTGATATTCTTATTTTTCATTTTTTAGATAATTCCTCATCATCTATAAAATTTAGGATCAGATAAATATCTAATATAAATATTAAAGTTTGGACATTCTGTCGTCTATCCAAAAATTATAAACTTTTCATTAAATTACAAGACTCTGAATTCACACGAAATCTGATAAGCAAATGATGATTAATGGATGTGGCAAACTACTGCAAATAGTGTGATAATGTTTGTAGGTCTCTGACCGGAAAGAAATGGGCCTACAAACTGATTCAAAGAATTTTATTTTTTTTAACGTGGTTTTTTTTTGGGGGGGTTAATGATGAAAAATATAAGTATTAGAAAAAGATGACGGGTCAATTAATTAAGAAAGATTTTATCTACAATAAATATAAGAAATTATTATTTTAAAAAATATTCTGACCTGATTTATTAAACTACCTTCTTATAATAATAATTTTACCAATAATCTTTGAACAGGTTATTTTCATAGTAAAAAAAGCCCAGCCCTAAATGTGAATTCCAAGGAAATTATGGATTTTTTTTTCAATTTAACTTAGACGAAAGAAAGGGGCTGTGAAGTTAATTTAAAGGATTTTTTAAATTTTAAGGTGTGGATATTATTTCATGGTGAAATTATGAAAATTTTAGATATTAGCAAAAGACGAGTTATCCATTGAAAAGTTTTAATTCTTGAAAACAATATCTTGATGTAATTTACTAAATCGCCTACTCATTATGGTAATTGTTTTATTAATTATGATTTTATAGGTAATTTCCACAACCGAAAGCATGGCTTTAAATCCGGAGAATATCACAATGATAGGGGATGTCTTTCCTGAAGTGAGAGCTCTTTATGTAGAAAGCTTCACAGATAAAGGGGTAACATTTCCCTATAGCTTCCTTGAGAGATTTCCCAAGTTGTATGAGCTTTATGTGGAGAACAGTTCCTTTGGGGGGATATTCCCCTCACAGGATGAGATTCTTGATTTTATGGGAAAAATCCCACCATTTAAGAGCTTAAACATTGCCCATTTGGATCAACTCAAGAGCATATGGAAGGATGACTCTCAGCTACCACCAATTCATCAAGACCTAATAGGATGCCTGAAAGTCGAAAGTTGTCATAGCTTGGTCAAGTTGGCACCATCCTCTGCTTCATTTCAAAATTTGCATATTCTGTCTATATCTGGATGTCATCAACTCGTCTATTTGGTGACAAGTTCAACTGCCAAAAGCTTGGTGAATCTTTGGTGGTTGAAGATAGATGATTGCAAAAAGATGGAGGAAATTGTATTGAATGAGAACAATGGAGGTGTAGAAGGTGGAATCACATTCAACCGATTGTCGTACATCTATCTTGTTGATATGCCAAGCTTGAAGATGTTCTCTTCACAAAATCAGACATTTGAATTCCCTGAATTAAAAGATATAGAAATAACTAGATGTCCTGAAATGAAGGTGTTTTGTCTAGGGTTGTCGGAAACACCAAAGCTATCTAAAGTGAAAACTGAAGAGTATGAGATGGAATGGAAGGATGAAAATGACCTTAACAAAACAATAGAAATGCTATCCGTAGCAAAGGTATGATACGTGCTTAAGCCAATGTCATCTGTCTTCAAAATTACTTTTTTATTTTTTAAGGCCAACTAATATTATGATTTGGTGTTGCAGGATAGTGTTAACATATAGAACGAGAAGTCCATCATCCATGTTATCATTCTTTCCAGGTTCGTTACTTCTATGATTTTTCTGCTTATGGGCTGTTTTTTTTTCCTAGTGGTTATTATGATATCAATAAAAGCCTCATATATGAGGGGACAAGCTTGAAAATAAAAAAATTGCATCTCTTTTTTTCTCCCTATACGCCAAATTTTTTCTTTTTCTTAAATTATTTGTATGTTTTTGCTACATTTGTCTGTGCTTTACTATCACTAAAAGATATATGAGCTGCTTGTTGAAGTTTATTTCAATTTGTTTTCCAATGGTAGTTACCATAATATCAACAACTGCTACATATTAAAGGATGAAACAGGGGAGCCATCTTTTGAAGAGTGTGAGTGTTTTTTTTTTTTGAACTTTTTTATAAAATTTTCTTTGTTTCTGTACATTCTCTCTGTATAGTATCGGTTGAGTTAGCGAATCACTTTTGCTCATTTTAAAGAGATCAACTGTGATTAAGAAGAAAAGAAATAGCTGGCATATTTCAAAAAGGATGATTTTGATAATTTGTTTACCCCAACTATTTAACCCATGTTTTCAACTAAATATGATATATATATATTTACAAAATAGGATGATAAAAACAGAGGGGCTGTTTGTTTCTGTTTTTTTATTTTTTCTCAAGATAGTCTTATAAAATTGTTTTTTAAAACAAGTTTTGAAAACAAAAAAAAATCTGTTTGGTTAATTGCTTCAAGCTGCATTTGAACAAACATATTGAGACTGGAAAGTGAAGTTTCAATGAGAACTCAAGTTTTTAAATGGGAAAAAAGGGTTTTCCAATTTTTGCAAAAAAAAAAGGGGGAATGAAAACAAAAGCAAGAAAAATAATGAAAGTTGTTTTTGTTTTTGAGTTTTTAAAAATATTCATGTTTTTTGGTTTTTTAAAAACACTTGACAACAAAGTACGAGACAAGCCTTTTTAATTTTTTTAATTTTTAAAAACAAAAAACGGCTTTCAAAATAAAAAAAACAAATAAGGCTTTTTGACGCATTAACTACAAAATAATTATACTTGATAACATGAATATATGTAGAATACACTCAATAGCCTTCTTCGTTTCCTTCCTTGATTAATGCAGGCAGCTAATCCGAGTGTGGACTACAAAATCATTGACTGCAAGATGATGAATATGGACAGATATTTGTGCGGTGATGCTTTTGTTGAGGTTGAATTCTCAATTATTTGATAAATGAGACTGTTTTTATCATAAACAATTGGGTGATGCATGACAAAACTCTACCCAAAACGTGATTTGTTTTATTAATGTATGAAAGACTCAGAAATTGGTGTGTTGTGATTGTGAAGCTTTCATTCAACACGTGTGGTTTGCTTAATTGTGTTATAAAGATTATTAATTAGTTCAATGAGATTGGTCATAATTGACCATGGAGTTCTTGATAATTATATGAAACAATATTCATTTTTATGATTTGTGAAGGCACAGAAGAACAATAAATAAAATTAGATATAAGGTTTATATCTATCGATTACATTGTGTAATTGACTAGGACTTAACGGCAAGCAAGCTAGATAAGAAATAAGTTATTTTTTCACACCAATTTAAAGATTTAAATCTTGCCAATCTATCTGTCACGGACCGCACTTCAAAAGATAATGGTAAGCAATAATGACAATAACCCTATTAGGTCAATATTAAACTGTTAGCTAGAATGAATGGAATACCTAGCATTTAAATTCACCATATTTTACTTTCTTTATTTTAGTTAACAAAATCACTCCTGATGCCCTTTATTTTATCTTTCGGTTTACTTGCTTATGCCATTGGCGCCATTCACACTGGCAACAGCAACAGAAGAGCACGCTTTCTGGATCCAATAAAAATCCAAAACATCATTTCCAATGAAAAAAGGTCACTTATATACTCTCTCACATGTATTAAGAACTATTCCCCTAAAAAAAGCTTATACATATAGCACTATAAATCGAATCAGAGGTGCATTTTGTACTGTCACAAGCAACTGGAATGACAATCCTACTTAAAATCCCGATTGCGTGCTCGCAAAAAAAGTCAAACAAAATAAAACCAACCATTTAGCTGACTGAAATCCTGCAGTGATAACCACAGCATTATTCCTTTCCACCTTTCATGATATATAGAATGGTGACTTAGCAAAACTTACTGAATAGACAAACATTTTTGTCGACGGCAATCTAAAGGACTTCAAAATGGTTAGAGGCATTAGTTTTAACTGACCAAAATGAGTGGATCTCATGACCTTCTTTCCTTCCTTTCAGTTGACCTCCTCTACTCCGCCTCTCGTCGTTTTCGCTGCCTGTCCAACATTACAACAATGGCTATAGTATCAAACACATCTCATTCTGGGATACATAAAGGAGCTCAAAGTTATTCATAATCTCACACAAAATGCATGTATCCATCACCAGCATTAGCAGCAGATAAAATTGCAGCGTGAGCAGGCACAGAATCCTGCCCCACAAAGAGCAGAGGATTTTTTTGATCCCCATCCACCTAAACAGGATTATTATTCACTGAAATATTGTGTAAAATTGGTGCATTTGTTTAAATGAATACCTTATCCCATTTTGATTTTTTGTTCATGATTGGTGGCCTCAGCAGTAGGAGGCATCAAAGGCAAACCACCTGAAGAGAGAAGAGAGAAAGTCAGCATAAAATAGAAAATGAGTAGTAAGAATGACCTTTGCCATACCATAGGTAAACTAGGTTGCTTTATAACCTGCAACGGGTACATTGATCCTTGGAACACCAGTTCCAATTCCTGGTTGTGCTCCCCCAAAGAGAAGCTCTTTCCTGTCATTTCCACGTCTCATATTTGCCTCTATGACAGTTAGGGTTGGTAAAGCAACATCAGTATCAAGTACTTAAAGGGAGCTTGACTGCAAAGTCGGCCTTAATGATCTGATGGTGCTGAGAAAAATATGAACAAATAACAAAATATGGCATGACCAATAAGTTGGTTAAATTCACAATGAAAACTTAAATTAGGCCAGTATTTAACTTCCAAAATCATGACCAACATATTCATCAAAAATATAGAAAGAACCCCAAAGCAGATATAACTAGCCATACACAGCTGTGTGTAGATGTTGGCTGTCCATTTCAACCTAAATAATATTATCACAAGGACTTTTGAAGAGAAAAAACACAACCCAATGGCAAAACATAATTTCAACATCAGGTTAGAAGACAAACAAGTTCTTTAATACCAGATATCAAGTCCATTGTCAGTATAGTGAACAATAATAGCCTCAACAGCCCAAATACCAGCGACCAGTATATCTAGAATATGACAAACATGAAATATTAATGTTTGCAAGAACACACAAGAAGTATCATATAATTGACAAAATCAGGTAAAATATGAGCATAAAATAAACAAGTATAGGGAAGCACAAGAAAGTAGATGCAGAGAAGAAACAGTTAAGCACCTATTTGGTCGTAGTAGTCACTTGGGTCATATCCATGAGGGTCGAATACATCCTTATCAAAGCAAGATCCTATTTGGTCAATACCTTGATACCTCACAACATGCAACAGGAAGTCAGGGTTCCGATAGTCCTTCCTATTGTGAACTGCTGCATTAAAATTTTTTCCAGCCTTCTTATACTCAAGAAATTTATTTATCTTTCTCTGCAATAATAATAAAAAGCGTAGCACGTTGTCATGAAAGAACAACAAATATGCAAAAGCTAAGAATAGTTTTATACAATTTTCTACTTTTTCAAAAATTGAGGGAAATTATTTTTTAATTCAAACTATTACTTAAAACTACTAAACTACCAGTGTACTAATTAAGGAGTAAAGTGATGATCATTCAACTTCCCATGTACAGAATGCCAAGAAGGGGGTAAGAAAATATAGTAATATAAGGTGCATTCAATAAAACAGAGATGTTTAGTGGTCAAAAAACTTGATACATATCTGAAATTATAAGGCTTGAATTCATATTAAAGGAAACACGTTAATCAATCAAACCATATATCACCACTCAGTATTTAAACAAGAGCAGCTGCTGAATTCATCGAATAATACCCCACAAGATGACTGATTTCCACACTTTTACGCCTTAAATTCATTTTAGATGGGTGGATTCTTACACTAAACACTAAATCAAAAATTTCAATGCCAAATTTCTAAACATAGATCACTATATTCAAGTGCTTCAACAGGACCTTAGAATTATTTATGTACGTGTAGTTTACATTACATATATGCACAATCACTAAACAGGATTGGAAGTCACACGAGATTAGAGTGTAATATTACATTACAACTCTTCCAAAGTATCGCCAAATTGGTTTAATCATATTCACTAACTAACATATGAAAATAATAAAATTTAAAGAGCCATAGCAAATTAAAAGCGGAGCTCTAGTGTGGCACAAAGCAGAAAGGGAAAAAGACATCAAACTACACAAGCACACAATAGCTGTTTTTCTTTTTGGGGGAGGGAGCAAAGCACACCAATTCAAGTCAATAAATTAGCACATATCTAAACTTTATTGAGAATAATTTATTGGTTATTGCAAAATTAATCTAAAGGAATTTACTTGTAGGCATTTAGAGCATTTAACTTTGGGTGGTGGTGGGAGAAATCTATCCAATGGATCTACAAACTTCTGCTCTTCCTGAGCTATTTCTTCATGTTCTGCACCATCTGATCCAGCCACAGCATCAACTTGTATGGTATGAGATGGCTCAGAAAACTAAGGAGTGTTAACTTGACTGCTAGGTGTCAAAACCTGAAAAGATCCTGATCATGCTCCATCTAGCAAATCACCTACAAAACCACATTCAAGGAAGTTCTTCAGGGGGGAAAAAACAGTGGACCAAGAGGCAAAATGATAAACAGAAAAACAAAATAAAACAATAGGATCATTCCCATCTAATATACTTCATGGAAAAGTGAACTGAAACCACCCCAACGTAATGTCTGAGCCTTTTTTTCAATAATCTTATTCTTAGATACCCAACCAAAGTCCAAAAGATTGGCATATTCTCAAATTAATAGTTCAGACAAACTCTCATGCACTTCAATTATCCAGAACTAAACAGTTAAACAATCAAATATAGGCAAAAAAACTGCATATAAAAGGTCAGTTGAATAATTGTTCTTGATTGAATACATTTCATGCAAAAGTTAATTTTAACTGTTTCATATGTTTATTACCTTATCAATATGAAAGTTCAGATTCATTAGGTCATATTCATAATTATCTTACCAGAACTGTTTATACAAGTTCCAGAAAGAACAGACTTTTGGGCCAAATGAGAGAACAGATTGCTGGTCAAAATTTTAAATTCTTCTGTTCCAAAAAGAACAGACTTTTGAGATATTCTTCCTTACCGCCAACAGATTAATCAAGTAATATTCATTCTCTGAGAATAACCTATAGTGGGATGAGGTGTCCAAAGAAATGATACAATAAATTTAGCAGAACATACTTTAATCAAAAGGGGAAATACCATTTGTTGTTTGAAGTTCTTCCTCAAATGTGAGTCGACCATTACCATCAAGCCCTCTATCCTGATATCAGAACCAAATATAAGCTATTAACTTATAACCTAAAATAAAGGAGAAAATGGTTTCCTAGTATAAGGTAACCTGCCTGGAAAATATGGCAAGGCCAGGGTGCCTAAGGTAACGTGAAGGTCTTGAACATTTTTGGCAATTTTCAAGTTTAAGAAACATGACTCCATCAATGGAAGAAAATAATGATGAAGGAACGCATAGAAGACAAATAGTATACAAAACTTGTCATGTCCTCAATCCTATTTTAATGCATCTCTCCAAAAAAAAAAAAAAAGAGGGGTGGATTCAAGTAAGAGAGAGTAACTCCGGCTCAGGCGACATTGCTACTTCAGGACCATTCCCTCTCCTACTACTCCTAGATTCAACAGATCCTACCGTGTAACCAACACATCAACCAAAGGCTGTGGTGGCATTGAAGTCCTAAATTTACTCTTCTGCAGGGTCATCCCATCATTTTCAGTCAGTAGAGTAGCCTTATTAGCAGAATCAGGGATCCTTATCATCTCAGCATCAGTCTCTAGATTTTCCTCTGCAATCCTGGCATCCCCACCATCCTGTTCTTGTCGCTCTCCTCCCTCCTTTCCTCCTTCAACATCCTCCATCTCGTCATCTTCCTCATCATTGTACATAGACAGCAAAGCAAGACCCTAAG